GTGGTTTCACATAGTGCTGCAGGTAAAGTTGGACTGGGAGAAGTTCCTGGGAAATTCCCCTGTGCTGGAAACAGTAGGTCTGATGTGACATTGTCCTGTCCCCTTTGGCAATCACTACACCTGCATGAAGCATGTGGAAAACACTAGCAAAATAAAACTCTTGATACCATTTTGTGCAAGGGATAAGAAAACAGAAAATCAAGCCTCTGTGAAGAATGACCTAAGGCATGAGTGCTTAAAGGTTTGGGAACTGAAGAGGTTTTAGCTGGAACGGAGGGATTTCTGCTGGGGAAAAAGGAGAGGTTGTCCAACTGATAGGAAATGGAGTTGGAGAAAATGGGCTTGAAGGGGATAATTCAAGTGTCTAAGAGTAGTTGGGAAGGGAGTTCTAGATGTCCTAACATACCCAAGCCTCCCACAAGGGTCCGAAAGGTGTGATACCATAACTATAGCCAATTTGCCTCAGTTTTTGGAGTAGCAGCAGCTGGAGGCTGGAGTAACCACAGGGCACCTGGAATGGCGGCAGCTACAGAGGTTTAGGCACCTGAGCCCCTGGTGGCTCTTCCTAACTAAACTCAGACCTCTGCCAGCTGAAACATTTCAGATGATCTCCCATGGTTATTGACATCTATAGACTGAGAACTAGCAAGGGATAAAAGGTGAGTTGATGAGTTTGACGTGGACGAAAACTGCGACCCTACTTGCCCATGGATATGGGAGTAGGTCCTAGACAGTAGATATCTCTCTCTGTTGGTAGAGGGGTTTCAAGTCTCAGAAAAGTTCTTCTGGACCAGCGGGAAGTAGTGAGAGCAGAAAGGAAAGCAGCCTCTGTGGGGAAAGCAGGAACGGGACTGGGGAGAGGACTGATGGTGCTGGCAACACATAATTAAGCACAAGGCTCTGACTGCTGCTTCAGTAGGGCAGGACCCATGTTCAGGCATTAGCATCCATTTCATTTACGGTCTTGTAACTCACTACAATATATTCCCACATTTCAGTCGTGAAGTTCCCCAGGGGAAAATTCAGAATCTGATTACCATGCAAATCCATTTGGGATGCTGTGTTACAGCTCTGTCTTACGTGCCTCCCCCATCCCCCTTTCTCCTTTCCTTCCTTTCCCTGCTTAAAAAGATATTTGGACATGTAGACCATACTTTTCTACTACCTAGGGCACTGCCTCTTGAAGCATGCGTCCACCTCCCAGATGCACCTATGGGACTTTAGCAGTTCAGTGTAACCCTTTAGTTCTCTGTAGCAGCTACAGGTCCACCCCCGAACTCGCTTATCGTACACTGGATCAAATTGAAAAACCATGTTCAGAAAATGATTATGATCTGCTAACTCTTGTTGGCTCGTTATTTTATGAGTCAGTAGTTGTGTTGACTCACACTTCTTTTCTTTAGATTGTTTGCCTGATTTCAATCGTTATGGTTTTATTTGTTTATCTATTTATTTTTTCAAGTTTAACTCTTCACTGCAATCCAAAAGATAAATTTGAGCACTAGATAAAGAGTGAATCTGTTGGGGTCCAATTTGGCATTTTTTTATGGGTTTGTCAGTTTTGCCTTAAACAAAAACATAAAGACAATATCTTAAAACATCCCTCTGAATTGTTAATATTAGAAAACCTGCATGATATTTACAAAAATCAGCAGTAAAAAAGATCACTCTCAAGACCAGCGTCCATATTGCAGTGTTTGACGTCTGGTAGCCAATGCCACAGTCTGTCAAGTTCCACAATCTGATAATTTCTGTTAAATATTCAGTTTTTCTACCATGACCACTATAGGAGCCTTTTTATAGTAGAAGAAAAGTAAATACTGCATAAAAAGATCAAAAGGTGAATCATTAACTTATCTAAACATGGTAGCCCTAGATAAAGTCTGTCCTGTTAATCTAAATAGATGACCACAAGTAATATATGGAAAGAGTTGATTGTAGAAGGAGCCTCACATTCTACAGAAAATTTGATATATAATAAAGCACATATGATTTTTTCAACAGTTAAAAGATTTGCATAATTAGCTTTGAGTATGAGAAAAGTGTTTTATAGTGTTTAGACAGGAACAAAAGAAAACGAAGAACTTCAATAGCCTGCAGTTGCCTAACTCTTGTATCATTTTGCAGACTTCACTACCTTTACATGTAATATTTTGACTCCTGTACATATAATGCAAACAGATTTAATCCTAAAGGCATTCGCAGTTTAAGTTTCCCACATAGGGATCGTAAATCTAGACTGGGAAGCCTGAAATCGTTAAAGTCACATATTCATAAAATCATATTCAATTAGGTTAAAAAAGTGCAATTTCTGTCATCATGTCATAAAAATATGTGTTTTTCTCTCAGATCTACTATAAAGAAAAACTCCCTATATTGTTACAGATAGAGGCTGTTTTCAATCAGTTACAAGGAGCAATCCAATTACTGGATGGTTTAGTGCAGTAACTGACTCCAGACTAATTTAATTTCTTTAGGTCTCTAAAGATCAATTGATCTGATTTGTTTCCCTCCCCAAAGGCTGTTTAGGAAAAAGCAGGCTTAAATACCTGGAAATGAAATACAAAGCTCTGTACACTTTCACACTACTTAGGTCATTCTGAAAAGCTGGGACTTGCAATAAATGAGTGCTCTCTTAGCCCCGACATCACAGGATGCTTTACAGCAGACCATGAAGATCACTGCCCAACATTGCAGATTATGCATGCACACACAGTGTGCCAGGCTGCTTGGGAAGCGCTGCATGGAAGCTGCACACAGAGCTCCTAGTTAAATATTCATTCCCAAGAACTGCACAAATGTGCATTTGCACTGCATACTATTCTGGACGAATAAATACTTTTATCAGTGAGCCGTCTTATTGAACCTAGTAGATTTCCAATCCAAAGGATTACCTTTGTTTTCCAGTGTATGCCTCAGCTGCCTTAAAACGGGAAACTCTTGCTGACATTGTACCTTACTTTGTTATTTCTTTTGATTTATATGAGATTTATTTAAACATTTTATTTTCTGGTGCTGTGATTAAATGTGCAGAACCAATGCTGCAGAGGAAACATAGCAGGGGGTGTCTCAGAGAGACATGTCTGAATATTTTAATTCTGGAAATGAATAAAACCCTTAGTATGTCTGGACTGTACCAGATAGCAAAGAAAAGATGAAATTCATGGTCTCTTCCCAGCTCTGTCTTGTGTCGCACTTTTACTGGCTTGCTACTTGCTGCATTGTGCAGTAGTTTTTTGTTGTTGTTTTTAATATAACATTCCCCTAATAAGAACTAAACTTTCCCATTTATGTCAAAATATACCTGACTTAAACTTGAACTCTCAAAAACAAATTTGAGTGTGGTTCCCATACATTTCACATTCCCTTTCTTGTATTTAGTGTAGGTTTCACACTTGGATACGTTATCTTTCATGGCAGCATTCATGCCTGGGCTAGGCTGACTGTCTCGGGCTCTGTTCTTACACTTATCAATAAACAAAAGGGCACTGTGGTTTAAGCTCAGCATTTCTGACTTCATGCCATGTGCTGTTATAATAAGATGTCCTCTGGAAAAATTCCCTGCGTAGCCGGCACCATGACAGTCAGTTCATCTGCACAGAGGCAACTGAGTTTTTCTCTCAGCTTATCTATTCAGAGTCTCTTAGCCCTTGTAAAGCTGTGTCATTAGATGGTGGCTGCCTGTATAAAAAGGAAAGTCATACACACAAACTGAAGACAGTTCTCTTCCTACTGGTTCTTTTTCAACATATTTTCTGCACACAAACCTGATCTCTGGACCTCATTTACCTTCATACTCTGCCAGTGTGCCTGGATATGTTATTTCAATTAATCTACTTTGTTTTTCTTTGTTTTCAATTAAGACTTAGGAAGCAACTTTTACTAAAACTGCACGCATACACTGCCATCGACAAGCTTTCTTTCTCAAAATAACTGCTCTTTCACCCAGTCACTCATACTCCAGTAACTAGTAAGGTATAAAACATACTGCCATTTCCTGGCCATAAATTTGCTGGAGACTGATGTACTTCAGAAATGCTGCAAAGACTTTCTCTAGTTGTCTGAATATTAGCAGCTTGTCCCCTATATGCACCCATGTAAAGATGAATCAGAGAGACATCTGGATATCCACACATAAGAGCCTGGAGGGTTTCAACCTCTCCAAATTTTCTTTCATGATCATGTTCTTACAGGAAAATTTGGATGTGCTATATCCATCTCCATCAAACTTGCTTCCAGCTTTCCAGCCTAAAGGATTCAGACAGCTTAATTTGCTTCATTAGCCAAAGCATCTGACACAGTATCATAAAATTGTGATGCACTGGAGGGATACCAAGAGACTGAAGTTTATTTCCTACCCAAATGCAGGTTCATGCTTCAGTCCCTCTGGCAGAGGTTGCTTTTAATGAGCTGTAACACCATCCCCCACAGCTCCAGATAAAGTTTTCCTCTAATGCTGTACAATTACAGTGAAACGAAGATGGCATCTTTGTCCGCAGAGTGGGAGTGATGGGATTTATCCTAGTGATCCCAGGAGAATCCCAGCTGCTGACTTTGGTGTCTGGGAAGGGTATTTTGGGAAGGTCCCCTCTCTCTTTACCACTGTGTGGAGCAGTGGGACAGCTATAAAGACATTTTTCACAGGACCACAGCCCTTGTTTCCCAGAGATCCAATTCACAGCCTTCAGTAGGATTAAACAGAATGATAAGAAAAAAAGCTTTTCATTCTGAAGTTTTGAAAATGACCTTCTCTCCCTTCAAGGAACCTCTTCAGAAAGATGAACATATCAGGCTCAACTGAAACAGATGTCAAAACTCAGAACAGCTCTTTCTTCATAAAATTTATAAGTATTTTTAAAGGAGGTGGAGGAGGCTTACTAAATGCAACAAGATCACATGAAAACACGCAGCTTCTCAGGAGTTGAAAGGATGCTTTTCCTACAAACTCTCTCTTCTCTTTATCTTATCTGCATGAAAAGTAAACAGAAAGTCCCCATTACCTCTCGATATCAGTGAGTCTGGAGGAGTCCCGGAATCCTTTAGCAAAAGGGTTGCTGTCAATTTTCAACTTGGTTATCTGGAAACACAGAAAAGAGCAACACAACGTAAACATAGTGTTAAGGTGTTGCAGTGTACCAAGTGTTAACTAGTCTGCCCTCCTGGCTTCACTGCTAGTTTTATCCATGCTGCTTTTGCGTGTGTTGTTTATGTGTGTGCAGCTCTTGGGATGTTGCAGAGCTCAGGAGGCAGAGCCCGCTCCCCCTCTCATCCCATGGTAATAAAAAAGCAAATTCTCTGATATCAGTGAAGTGACACTTCTGCAAAACTGGTGTCAGTAAGAGAACAAGTCAGATTTCTTTTCAGGAGCCTCATTTCAGCCAGCTCAAGAAGCAGGCTGTATCACTCATACAGCAGCAGAAAGACCGAAGGGCACAGCTGGTTGCACAGTTGGGCACAGCATGGGTTGAGGCTTCGTGTTCCCCAAGTAGAGGGAAGCCACACACGTACAAGGTTATTGCTTCCAAATACTTTAGCACAAATTAGGCAGTGTTTTCTTTCAGCAGTGCACAGCATGCTGCTAAGATCTGAGACGCTTTGGCGGAGCTGCACAACAGCTAACTGAGCCCAAGCCACGGGCCAGTTGCCTGCAAACTTGAGAATGATGTTTCAGTTCAGTCGCACCTATTTGTTTTAGTCATGCAACTGTTCCCTGGCAGACCTACTAGGCACACAGGGCCAGTATAACTATGCTTTGCAAAGATAAGATGCTGGGGAAGAGAAGGAGGGAGAGAAGTGGGAAGAACCCAGATTTGAGGCGACACAGTCTAGATGCGAAAAGGACAGCCCCATTAAAACCATCATAGTCCTGAAAGACCAGATCTCTTATAAGCAAAACTCTCTTCCTCTCTTCAATTCAGCTACAGATCTGTTCAGTGAAAGCCACCAGCCCTTTTCACCTGCCATAGGAACCCGCTGGTTAGGGGACTCCTTTTGCCCCAGAATATCAGGGCTCCTCTTGACTTTGCACTGCCACTATTAAGAAATAGAGGGTCGCTGTCACTGGTCTTTTTGGAATCAGGAAAAAACACCCACCATTGCCCCTCTGGAATTTTCCAGCTGTCCAAAAGAAAAGAGATTTGGTAAATAAAACCTGAGACATCATAATGATATTCTAGTTTCCCAAATATTCTATTTCTTCTAGGAAATAAAGATGAACTGTAAGTGAACAGTCAGAATTTGATTGTACACAAGACAAGGTCTGTCCAGCAAGGCAGTGAATGCCTCCCTTGCAAAAGCCAAAGAAAACCGACGGCTCTTGGTATTTCATACTGAGCAACTATTTCAGCTTGGCTTTCCCTAAAGAAAGAAAGAAAGGAAAAAAAAAAAAAGACTGTATAATAGATCTACAGCCTCATTTTTAATAGGTGACCCTTGAGACTCAGAAAGAAAGGGGATCTTTTCCAAATGCATAAATGATCAAATGCTCTCATGAAGTAAAGCTATTTCAGAATTGGGTGGCTCCTCCAAAAGAGAAGGAGAGAGACTGAACCCAACTTTTTGTTCTGAGAGAGGGGTCTTTTGGGAAGGAAACATGAGGAGGGAAGGACAGGCTCTTGAAAAGAAAAATGAAGAATCAAAAGAAGGATAAAAAAAAAGAACAAGGGCCGGGAGGAGAATCCATGGGCGCTGTGGGCGGCTGTCCCCGCTCTGCAGCCCGGGGCAGCTCATGTCACCGCCCAGCCTCCCTGCTCGGCTCTTCCCAGGCGGCGCGGGGAAGGCAGGGATCCCTGCTCGGAGGAATCCTGCAGGGATCCCTGCTCGGAGGAATCCTGCAGGAGATGGACCCCCATGGCGGCTGGCATTTTAGCCATTTCATCCCACGAACACAAGCGGTAGCAGCCAGCCTGAACACCAGTCCTGTCACAGGGCCTCACGACAGCTCAGCAAGGCAGTTTCTCCGGTCTCCTGCTCCTCCCGAGAGGTCTGTGTCCTTGACTCACTGTCGTATTGCAAAGAGCAAGGAGTTAGTGCCTTGTGTACAGGGAACTGGCTTCGATTTGTAGCAACATTTGAAAGCTACCTTGGAAAAAAGGCAAGCTCCAAGGAGTTCCCTTGACTTAGATCACCAACACACCAAGCCAACTGTGCTGCAGAATAAGAATTTCTATTCATCTCCTGAGTGCCTTTTCACCGATCGTACTTCCATTTTCGCGATATCAAAGGTTTGGTATGACATCATAGGAGAAACTTTCCATATCCACCAAATCCAGATGAGACTCGCAATCATTTATGGCCATATTTTTCCTGAGAGACTGTCTCACAAACAATCAGAGAACATCTGCTAGAAAGCATTTTAAAATGAAATTTGACCTACAATTCAACTCTGTGGCAGTGGTTTAGCTGTTTAAATAAATGCATGCCCTTTAAATCTTAAATTATGAGATAGTTTGTTGAAAGTGTAATGTATTTAGCTTTTATCTAATAACCTGCAGAAATGTAATCAACCCCTCCTTAAAACAGTTCTGAAAGAAATGGCAAAAATGAAAAAAGGCTCCATTTTCATTAGTCATAAATAAAATGACAGCATCCAGCTCTAGGGGTTCCGGAGATGTTCCATTGAGAAATTTTCCAGGACTCGTTGCGTGGACCTTGAGAGGTTAGTTTAGAAATGTCTCTGATGTAAACAGTATGGGTAAACACAAATCCACTCCACAGAATGAAATTCTGTGTTAAGCCATCTTTTTGTGTGTTTGTTGTTATTTTGCTAGTTTCTACAGGAAGTTAAGTGGAAAAACCTTTTCTAACCACAAGTCCAAACTTTATGCTCTCGAGATTACTACATTCTGAATCCATTTTCTTTAGCATTCAAATATATACCTGAGTTGACAGTCAAAACATTCTGATATTGAAGCCTTAAAGCTGGGTGTGGAATCTGTCACAATTACTGATATAGTCCCACTACTGTTACATTCATTGCTTATTTGGCACGACATACACTAATTTCATTTTATTCATAGCACTCAGAAACTAATCATTTTTGCCTCAGATTAAGAAATGCAAATTCTCTTTTTTAACATAAACTAACAGGTATTTGGGCTGTGCGATGCTGCCTGCACACATGTTTGGGCAGCACTTGTTACATTGCTAGAACAGCCTGTCTTTATCTGGGGGAAATTGAGAGGGAAAGGGGCACTTTAAGAAGTGCAGCAGTCATTAAAATACGCTCTGAATTGCACTGAAGCCAACAACATCTTTCCACTGATTTAAACATTAAAGCTTCGTCCACTGTTGAGCAAAGCCTCCGTTTTCCAATTGTTTATATATGTCCTAAAATTACTCATTAGCAATCCATTGTTATGATCTCCTCCATTTTGTGTATATTATTCACTGGCATGCAAATTGAAATTCAAACATCTGGATGTAATCTAGGCAGCCTCTGAAAAGCATATCTCTCAGCGATTTCCCTTACATTTGAGCCTTACAGCTTAATTAGTTGACTTTTTAAGTCCGTGAAATCATCACATGCAAACTGGAATCTCTGCCAGTTACTAGCTCAAAGTGTGAACGATCACTGCGAATCAGAACAGCTCCTTGATGTCCTGTAATTTCAAAAGTACTAAACGATAATATGTAAATGCTTTTGCCTGGACAGAAAGGAAGACAAATGAAAACCTCTTTCATGTAATCTCTGCACATTGAAACAATCCTTATGTCCCATTAAAGCTAGGAGGACTATCCACATACATAAGAATTACTCCTAAATATGAATGAGGCCGGACAAGATCTACAAGCATTAGAAAGCAAAGGTAAGTCATATCATGATGTTTCCTCCATTACATCTTGTTGTGGGTGAAAAGAGGGAATTTCTTAGCTGGGTGGAATTTAACTAAATCAGAGGAAGTTAGCAATCGTACTCACCAATTGATTCTGATAAGCAGTAACAGCTGTAAAAACTGTTTCTGGAAAGATAAATGTCCTGAACTCTTCAGATTTCAGATTTAGCAAAGATGCTGTGTGATCCTTCTTCTTAATAATGTGGACCCTTGGCTGGTACTTGTGCATGGAGTTTAAAATGATCTGCAAAAAAAAAAAACAAGTTACAAGATACTGTCCTCAGAGGAAGATTAACAAGTCTGTTGAAGACAATAAAACTGTATGGAAAAAAGGAGATACAATTAACACTGTAGCAGGGACATCTTAAATCTAACTCGCCTGGGGCTTGTTTTCAGAGCAAGCTCTCCAGCTTGTCTGGGCGGGTGCTTCCTTCTGAAAATGAAGTGTAAGAGCAGGCATTTCAGGAGCCCATTTCCTCTCACCCCTGCGCACTGGTGAGCACTCACTTTTGAAGCATGAATACCTGTTCCTGCAGGTGCGATATTCTACATGTGCAGTAAATTACGGTTGGTTTGTGACCCAGTGTGTAGGTGCCACCGACGAGTGTAAATATTGACTCTTGAAAAGCACACAGCCAAGAATTCACACTTGTCAAATTGCCTGGGTGACAGAATAAAACCAAGCAAAATGAAACTCCAAAAAAATCTGCCACTGCCAGCCCAAAGAGCTGCAAAAAACCCACAACCTTCCCCGGATCCTTTCATCTTTCAGGCCTTTACAGCAACCTACTTTGCAGATGCTCTTCGCTGCAAACTTCCAGAAATGAAATCATGGAGAGAATCCAGTACAGAACCCTAAACTGGCCAGGTTTTACCATTTTTTTTCTCTCGATAATAACTGTTTATGAGCAAAAGCATAATTCCAACCTAATGGACCAACTAACCAATTTCGGTGTTCATTGGAGTCAAACAGAGATTCCCACTTGCTTCAATTAGCACTGGATGGAGGCCTATTTGGCTGCCTCAAACCACAATATTACAATATAAGAATTAAATACAGAGCTGGCTTGCACCAGCCCTTGTTTTGGATATAATCACAGTCATAAGACTAAATTGGCAATGGTGTGGGTGGTTCTATTTTACAGGGGCCATAACGACATTACCGCCAGTTCTGTACATCTGGAATAGCTAATCTGCATTCCACGGGACGCGTTGACTTCAGCTGACGCGCAGCAGAAGTGCGGTATTTCATGCTAACTTTGTAAATAACAAAGATTGCACATTGCCTGGGAGTGGGGAGCTTGGAAACTGCTTCTTCGTGGCTAAGGTTGCCTACAGTGTTTTCTTCTCTACTCCTTCAGGGCCAAAGACTGCTGTGACTTGCACTGGGGTTGTGGTGGGCTGCACAGGGGAGAGGAGAGTCGCTATGATGACAGGAACTTGTTGCTCTGGAGGGGTTTTGTGACAACTTTTGCCAGTTCAGGTCCTTTCCCAAAATGCTTCACACCACTTTGCACACATTCAAGCACACAGGCACACAACAGGTACATGCTTCGCAGTTAATATTCCCAGCACTTTTCCCCCTATTTCTGAGGTTTTGTCTCACCAGCCTCTCCAGCAGGACCCACCAGTCGCTCTGTACATGGGGACCAGCCCTAAGCAGTTGGAAAAGACGTTTTAAAGCTGACGCGTGCACGGCGGTCGGCTTTCCGAGGGTTGGCCGGCAGTGCCCGGCACTGCGCTCCGTGGCTCTACATCGGAGCAGCAGCCGGGCGGGAGGAGGACAGGGCTGCGATGGAGCAGCTCCCACACGTACCCTTTCCTTTCACTCCTCTGAGAATGAGCATTGCGATAACAGAACTCCATTTTTCAAACAAGACCACGTAATCCTCCATGAAAGTTTTCCAAGACTAAAAGTGCACTTAAGTAACATCCTCTATCATGATATTATATCCCACACATCCCCACCAGAGAAAAGGCAGGTCAACCAGGTGCAAAATAAATACCGAGCACAGCCAGGAGTTCACAGAAGTTCTGGGAGACCCAAGGCCAAAGTTAAGGTCACTATTTCCTCTTTACTAGGGTCTGTGTACGTTGTGCTCCATCCGCAGCTCCACAGAGGCTGTCAAGGTTGCGGCACTCGCTGACATTCAAATCGCCTGGATACTCTGGATATTGCACAAAGATAACTCTAAATATCTGTGCATCACCAAAGCAGCCTCCAGGAGTCGGATACACAGCGTGAATCCGCAGCATTGTCCTCAGAGCCGGCCTCAAAGCCAGGACAGTGCCCTACCTGCGCTGCGCGTTTAGCAGAAAACCTGGGACGCCGGCAGCTGGCTCCCGCTGGCCTGGAGGCAACATGGTGGCCAGCTGCAAAATCCCTGAGGGGACTTGGAATTCAGGAGCTCTCTGGGAATGAATAGAGCTTCCACACTCACTGAAGGGGAACATTGCTGGGCAAGGCTTACTTTTTAAATGAATTTAGGTTTCAAACTTCTATCATCTTAACCAAAAAAAAAAAAAGAAAAAAAAAGCAGCCACCATTCCCAGTGGCTTTTCTGAAACTCTTGCTTCAAGTTAGGTGGTGTTCACACCTTTGTCTCTGTTTTAGTAATGCTCATGCATCCAGGCTTTGCTGCCACAAGAGCCGTGTGTGCATTTGCACCAGAAAAAGAACTGTGATAACGTATGTACTCATGACTGATCTCCCCATGCATCAGAGACGATACCACCACAGCTAAGCGCCATCCAAAATCCTAAGATCAGTGTGAAAATTATCACCAGAAATCTGAAAAAAAAAAATCATAAATGTTCATAAATGTTCAGCAACCAGGAGAACAGCTATTCCTTGCTCAGCTCTGAGAATCCAGAGGTGGAAGCTGTTTCCTTTCTCTGGTGACGATATCTGGAAGAGTTTCCATGGAGCAGGCTGCGTGTCATGCACACAGAGATAAGACTCCTGGGCGCTGCTTGGGGAGAATGTGCGCATAGCTGCGGGGTTACACAAGCTGCTGAAGATACACCAGCAGAGAGGCCTGCCAAGCCCAAAAGTCTCAGAATAGGTGAAAACAAACAAACGCTAAAATGAGCAAATGCCTCTCCTCTCTTCAGGTGGATTCCTTTTCAGGAAATGAACCACTCCACAAACAAAACACCACAATTATCGTAACAGCCAAAAATGTCTTTTGGGAGATAGAGAAAACAAGCAACTAGAACAAACTGGAATTAAGTTGGTTCCATCTTCTGTACCGGTAAGTAGTACTTAAAGACAGCTTTTAGGCCATTAAAACTTCATCGGGAGCCAACGTGCCTTATCAACCATAATTAACATTTTAGTAGCTCAATTAAAAAGATCTCCTTGGCGAAGAAGGGTTCTTTCAAGCAGAAGGGAGAGGTTGCAGGAGGCATTTCAGTTCTCCCCTCCCCTTAGCACACAGGAGCACGGCAGTACCATTGGCGGTAGCTTGGAGGCTTTGGAGAATGAATTTATTTCTTAATTCCACCAAGCATCCAATGATGATATTTACATAGCCTCAACCAGGCAGCACATAAAACCTGACACCCTAATTTGGAACATAAAACGCCACAAAATATTAAAAAGGGAGTGCTCCATGAAGGCATAACGTCTGTCACGCAACTCCCAAGCCAGCGTCGAGCCTTCGGGGCTTATTCTTAACCGAACAAGCAAAACTTTCCATTGACTTCAGCTGCTCAAAGCCTTAGTGCAAAGAATCTGTTCCACCTCTGCCGTTTCTTGGAAAGTTAATCAGAAGGGCACATCTTCTGAGCTACGGATCATATTCTCCCCCTGCATGTATTTGAAATGATTGCATTTTGCCCTGTCACATGTCTTGGTTCCCGACAGTTTCTCAGACCGACTTCTTTTTCATACTCATCTGGACTTCTGGGAACTGCACCAGTCTTAACTAGTTTGCAATATACTGCTGCAAGCCCTTTATTAGAGGCACACATGGCCCCTGTTATGATGAAAAATGCTTCTTTTAAAATGTGCACGTATACTGCTCTATCATCACTCGATGATAGACCCCACAAATCTTCAGCTTTGCCCTTCTACAGATTATGAAATAAGAGAAAAAAGACATTCTCCGCCAGCCAGGAAGGGAGCAATGGTGGGAAAAGGATTCAAGAAAAATATATCCACCGACAGATCTTTACAAAGGAACAATTCACAGACATCTAGCTGGACTTCCTTTTGATTTTTTTTCTTCTCCTTTTTTTTTTCTTTTCTATTTTTTGGGATGTGTTTCAAACTATAAAGGCTGTAGTTCGGTTTTTAGGTCTTGAAATGAGCAAAAATTCCCTTTCAGATGAGAAGTATTTGGACAGAACACAGATCAGACAAATGGCCACCAGGCCCAAGAGTCGGCAGAAGCAGTAAAGAGCACCCTACGGGCTGGGTCTTCAGATGTCACACACCACTGTGCCACAATTACCCTGCTTTGCAGGTTAGTTCTCCTCTACGCTTTGTACCTCAAAATCAGCCTGGCTGTCGACATCTCTTTCATCGACACTCTTTTTAATTGTGCCATTCTGAGCCAACAACTCTTCCAAGTCCATCCCTTTGCTTCTTGAGCTTTCCCATGGAAAACCGCCTAGCTCAAGTCCCTAGCTCAGGGACTTTTAGCCCCTCCTTCTCCATTGCAAGGGGCCGCCAAGCCTTCCGTGCTCTTTTCAGGCAGCTTCTTAGAGGAAGCTCTTACCACCTGGCATTGCTGGTGCATCTCCACTGGAGCACACAGGGAGCAGAAGGGAGCTCCCAAGCACACACCGAAAAGCACGCAAGTTTGCTAGCCAGAGCGGCGTGGCAAAACACAGTGCCAGGTCCCAGCAAAACGAGGGTGAAAGGAAGGTGGAAAGCTCACCTGCCTCCCTTTTTCCTTCACCATTATGCTCAACACCACCCCGATTCCTCATTTCTTCCCCATTGGATGCTCTGCCTCTGACTGGAGAGGGAGCATGAGTTGACTGCTTGTGTTGACGTAGGCCCTACCCTATGGGATTAGCCCTGCGGTACAAGTGAGAAATTCCCCCACTGCTTTATTTTTTTAACCCTTTCCCCCCAGGAGGGCTACTCACATGGCCATGCTGATCCAGCTCGTTGTTTGTGAGCTTCACTTTCTCGAACGACACCATCTGCTTTAGCAATTGCTCTCCTGTGAATGGTGAGTCAGGGTGCACGTACAGCCTACAAAACACACAGAAAAGGCACGCTCATAAAAATCTCACCACTTGGCTCGCGTGTGGGCACCACCTCTGCAAGAAATTAAAAAGCCCACAGTATTTTGCTTTCAGGATATGCAATGGTTTCATAGAAATGAATTTCCTGAAGGCTTAGTATAATACAGCTCTGCTACAACCCACAATCTCCCTAAATTAATGAAGGCCTGAAATATGACCATTAATGAAAGACAGTAGGGCACATAACTCGAGCACTTTCATTCACCGGGGTATAATGAAGAATTCTGTATCCAAGTGCTAGATTGCTCTCTAACCATAGCTATTTTTTTATCTAGTTATCTAGAAAGGAGACATTAACCAACATTTACTGTTTTGTCTTTTCCCAAATGAAAAATTGATCATGTCTTTCCCCACAGCTGTACTAACAAGCACTTAAAATAACAATGACTATGGCTCCAAGAGAAAAACATGGTGTCATTAGAGAGATAATGGGGGAATGTAGATAAAAATGCATTTTTCTTTATACGCAACATTAAGCTGTGATAATGATTTTAACCTGCACTCGATCACACGTTAGCTGTGGTGACGTGTGTTTACAGGAGGTTGAAGGCTGTAGTCCAGCGGGGTGATTTGACATTAAAAAATCAATTGCAGCCATGTAATTAATTCACAATCCGTGGAAAATTAAGCAGTAATTGCAGCCATGTAATTAACAATTCACAATCCGTGGAAAATTAAGCAGAAGAAAAGGAAGCACAGAAAACGTGTAGATACAGAGACATACACATTATGACTAGACTGTTTACAATTGCTGGGCTATTTAAGAACAATGATTTTGCAGGAACGCTAAATTGCTGAAAATTATTTAACTCAAATGTTCCCCTCTGATATTGAATTAAAAGCTAATTTAGCTCTTGCAGGGTCAAACTGGAATTGTTCCCCTGCTGTCAGGGCTGATTATTGCTCATGGAGGACCTACTTCTCTCTCTTCTGATGATGAATATTCGGCCTCACTGATAGATTCATTACATTAGGTTAATGGGGTGGTGCAGAGACGCAGGGTAAAAAAGGAAACTTTCCTCCCCCACCTTTTAAATTGAAATTCAGTTTGGGTTAAACAAAGGGAGAACTGAAATACCTCTAAGTGACAGACTGTGTGGATCTCCTCACCAAGGAGTGCCTGTACTTTGGGCCTGTGGGAGCACAGTGCTGTTGCTCGATGAGGGAAGGTCTGATCCTGGATTCTGCCTTTGCCTGCGAAATCCGCAGGAGCCCGCAAAAGTTTTCCTTAAAATAACATGAAGCTTGGCTGGTGTAACTATGTCCACAGCAGGGATGCTGTGCCAGGATCCGGATCCATACCACAGTAAAACGCTCCTAACATGTGCAGGACCTCGCTGCTCTTGCCTCTCCTGATTGCACTGCAAGGCTTGTCAAAAACCCAAGTTGTGGAATCCTGTTATGTCAGAAGTATATTACCTTTCATGAAAACTAATTTCTTTGCCTTCCCCTGGAAAACTGTGAAAATCTGAATCTTTAAAGGAACAAATCACAAAGGCAAAACAAAAGGAATCTTAAAGGTATTGCTTCCAACCTCCACAATTTTTAAGACAGTCTTGTGATTCTTTTTTTTTTTTTTTTTTTGAATCCCTGACTCCTGATTCTGAAGGGCTGGGAAGCTAACAGTGTTTACTGTGCCCACAGTGTCAGGCTTAACAAGGTTTGGCTAATTGGGACCAAAAAGCCAAACTATTTCAAATATGTGCTTGGGGAGTGAGTAAAGATCTTCGTGTGCTTAAAAGCCGAGCACAATTGTTTTACCCCGTACATAGTTAATGTCTGACACGGCCGTAAAGCTGTGGATCACCTGGATGTTAGCAGAGAGCTAGCACGAAAGTCGCTGAAGGACTGGTACTTGAATATGGGTTATTTAAATGTATTAATGTGCCTTGTTTTCTTTACTGTTTTACTACATGCCTCCAGCCCCACCTGCACACGTGGCTTGCACGTGTTTGCACTACACTTCTCCTACGGCCCGATCCTGAACAGCCCAGGAAGGAGGATTCAAAGCAACGTGGTCTTTGGAGCAGAGGGAGTCCATGAGACCGCATAAGCGTGCGTGAGGAAAGGGATTAGAGGACTAAACACACACATTCCTCCGGAGCACACGCAACTCCTGCCGCCGAAGGGAGAGCCCGCATGGGAGAGCTTGTGCCCTTGAATTCACAAAGGCTTTGGGAGCCTTATTTGGATCTAAGTTTGCTCCAAGGTATTTAGTGTTTCATGAGATATCCAGGATTTGGGTACTGCTTCCTGCTTGTGTGCTTTGGAACGCTCTACCATTCCCCTTGTATTCGGCTTACGGTTGGACCGGTCCCACAAGCTCTCCGTGCATGCAACATTTAATTACCCTAATGTCACAAACAGACAATTTGCAAAATATATCAACACCTTTTTCTAAACGTTTCCTTCCTAGAGTTTTCTGTAAGTGTGTAAATACTACAACTTCATTAAACAAATGATTATGGGCGGGCCAAAAAAAAAATAAAGGAAAAAGAAAAAAGAGCAAAAAAACCCCACCTTTTTATGAACGAGAAGGTAGAAAAGGAAGAATAGGTACTAAAGGTACATGCTGAAACTTATTAAGCTGATATTTCTTTCAAATAATCTTTGCAGCTTGGAAGAACAAAGAAGAATAGAATAGAAATTCTACCCCCAAACAGCATTTCAGAAGACTTACAAAAGACTTTCTGAAAAGTACTTTTATTCAAGTGTCGGTGGCAAAAATGAAGTTGTCTGAAATGTTGACAGCAGGAAGAGCAGGATAAAACTGTTTTTTGTAGCAAGTTCCCCGAAGGACTAATCTTTCAAACAGCGTCACACAATATGTACTAAACTTTGAGAAAAGTTGCTTTTGTGTTTAAGACTTAGTTTTAGAGCAAAAAGAGCAAAAAGTCTTATGGGTTTGATTCAAAGCCTCGCACCCCTGCATGACATGACTTGGGCATAGTTCTCTTGATGCCGTTAAGACTCCCCGGTTGGATAGAGCAACAGGCAAGGGAGTCAGCACCTTGGCCTCAACATCCAAACTGGGCAGCTGGAGAGTAGTAACTTCAGTGGAGGCTCCTGTTTCTGGAGCAGGACCATTTTAAGGTGGTGGGACTGCTTCTTTTAATGTGTTGAGGCTTCCCATCTCAAAAGATGCCTTCATGCTCCAGAAACAGCACGAGTGAGGCAAGCACGCAACAACCTTTCCACCTCCAATCGGAATTTTATAAGTAAAAATTGCATGTACATATGTGAAAGTACCATTTATAGAAATATAGAAATGAAAAGTAATCTGAACTGATGTTATTATCAGTTCTGCTTTGTCTAAACATCCTGAAAATGAAACAGGATATGGACCATATGTATACATTAGCACACGAGGGCACTGACCCAATGGGGATCTCCAAGGTCTACCAGCATGATAATAGTAAACTGCAATAAGGTTTGACCTCATCCCTATAAAAGTTGGTAAGGAATTTGCTAATTACTTTGAGCATCAGCCTCCTATCTCAGTCTCATGAGAACTTCCTCACTGAATTATTCTGTGCTGGATAGCGTGGGGTCTAGCCAAAGGTACCCCAAAAAAAGCCAGGGACTTTAATAGACAAAGAAGAAGAGGAGAACCCTGCCTTGAGACTATTTCTGTCCTTCCTTCCTTAATTTTTTTGTTCGACTCTGACTCCTTTGGGAACAAAAGTCGTCTTTTTCCTTGGGGTTTGAGCAGTGCCTATTACAATACTTCAAATGAAGCCCTTAGCTGTTAACCACATTACAAGAAGGAGTTTTTGGCCCCGAAAACAAAGCCAGCCTAACTCCTAGGTTGCCGTCTTTAATAATAGCTTCCACGCATGCACTTTTTCTTTACTTCCCTGAGCTGCCGGAGTCAGCAAGATTTCAGCCGAACTATTTATATAAGAAAATTGTTCGGGATTCGGTCCCGCACCCACACCTAAAAATGTGCTTCCCCAGAAGTGTGTCCACTTCTTCTGCTTTAATTTTAATTCCCGCCCTGTACTACCCGCGACCATAACCCCGGGCTGGGACACCTGGAGGGGATCCGGGTGCCTGCGCGGAGCCCTCCACGTGTCACCAAGGCTCCTCACAGAGCCAGGACCTGCGCTGCGGCCCTATCTCCAGCTCTGACTCAGCAAAGCTGCCAGGCATGGGCTGCACTGGCCTCGGGGACCTAAGGACACACTCAAGTGCCCTGCTAAACACTAAATACAATAATGTATAGGTCACCGCTGAAGTGCTTTCCTATAAGGCCTAAGGCTCTAGTCTGTTTCCCAATGCCAGAAGGAGTCAGACATCAATTACAGCAATGGAGGGATTTTAGAAATTAGTTTTCTATGGCATTTTGTTGCGTTACTTGATTTTAATTCTCCTAAGGTATCAAAAAAAAATTTGCTATGCTTACTTAAAAAAAAAAAGAACTGTCCATTGGGGATACACAAATACTTTTTATGTGGCCATCAAAGAAAGTAATCAAAAGCAAGAATAAAATTATTAGCTAGTAAACAATAGGTATACTATCGAGAAATAATAATTTCAAGCATAAACAGCATTGTACTCTCACCTAACATTTCTACTTGGACTTGCCTGGTGGTGCTTGGATTGCTTTAAATTATAAGTTTGAATGGGGGGGAAAGGGGAGGGGCGAGAATCAAGAGACAAATTAAAGTTTCTTATCTGAATAGAGGCAAATTTTATATATATATATATGTATATATAAAGAATCTAAATAAAAATATGTTATAATATTAATATAAATAAAAGCACTAAGGCAAATCCTTCACATCTTTGGTACATTTGATATAAAACCAACTTCACGCAGAGATTTAAGGCCTGATTCTGCCTTATAGAAATTAGTCAGAGTTTTGAGATCCAGTTTTTTTCGCCAAAGTCTCAGGCTCACATCGCTGTTTGCAAACAGCATAGAAAGGTTAATAGACGTTTTCTGAAGGGACACACACACACAGAAAACAGCTGTAAAATCTACTGACCTTGCAGGGAGTGGAGGGTCAGCTTTTCCAGCCACTAGCCAGGAAGACCTGTGGTAGGCATATCTGTATCTTTTATTGTCCACAGGAACTATATCCATTAACACAATGTACTTGGCTTCAGGATCCACTCCCGAAAAGGAAACCCTGATGGTAGGGAACATTCTCCTGAAATAAACCAGAAAATAAACACACAGATGGAAGAAAGAAATAAAAGTTTCTGAAAAGTTATTGCAAAATAAGAATTACACTTAAAACTCCTGGAAAAAAAAAAAACAAACAAAACTAAAAACAATGGAAATATCAATTGCTTCTATTTTGACAAGATAGAAATTAAATCTCACATATCTCTACAGTATATATAGAAACAATAGTGAGAAACTGGAATAATTCTTTGAAGGAAAAAAAAGATATAACAGTGAAAAAGTAAAAGCGAAAATGCATTTTTGCCTGGCACTTAACATGCACAAACAAAGATTTCAGAAAATAGTCGTATCATAGGTGCATAAGTTCTTACAAACATTTGTTTTTGTAGGAACAGAGAAATACTGCAAGAATTATTGCCGTTAGTAGTCCCACAAACTGCACACGCATCTTGTTTTAGCCTGCTCACAATTGTGGCAAGAAGTATTTGCCACAGGGAAGCTTCCTTTGCTTCACTCGAATTTCGACAAAACATAGGTAATAAAACACAAAGTTTTCAGTGCTCTGGAAATGAAGTAAAGCAACTTAAAACAACAAAAAAAAAGCGCTTGACGTTGCAGATTTTACACATATTTTTAAGCACACACGGGTGTATTTGGCTAGTTATAAAAATCAGCAGGGAGTTATGTTAATAACCAGTAACTTCGGGGGTTACAAAAACCGACGCTCGGCTCCTACAGACTGCGTTTTGCTGACCCAGACCCAAGCTCAAAGCTTTGGGATGACTAGAAACCCTGCGGGTGTTTTGCACCGCACACGAGAGGCGAACAGGGTAGAGGAGACCCTCATCCAAAGGGAAAGCAACCAAACCAAACAGAATTACTGCCCCGCGCCCCTGCATGCGTCGGCACCGACACAGCGCTGCGAAGTCAGAGCGCGGCGCAGAGCGGGTTTCGGCTGCAGCACTGACTTCCACTCGCTCCCAGGCTAGGCGCTTTCTTGCGGGTTACTCGAGCATCTGAATTTCCACCGAAAATGCTAGGTCTGGTCCCGCACGAGCTCAGGTCTCCGCGGAGGACGGGTCTGTGCGGTGGCCACGGGGAACAAGGAGCAGCTCCTCTCCCCCCCGCCCGCCAAATCAAGGCTTTTAGGGATGTTTGGAAGGTTTCTTGCTTGTGTTTCTAATGCCCGCTCCGCCTCGTCCAGCCTCACCTCCCCGACTTGGTGATGATCATCTCGGTGCCCAGCTCGTGGAACTTGTCCCAGAGCTCCTTGGTCTCCAGGCTGCAGGAGATCTTGGCCATCTCCTCGCTGGGGATGCCGGGGGTGGTGGGGATGAGGGGCTCGGTGCAGAGCGACGCGGGGCTCGCGCTGAAGTCCCCGTGCGCCTCCAGGCTCGACAGGTCGGTCAAGGGCTGCGCGCAGGAGGACTTCTCCACGAATTGCTCTGCAGGGTTCGCAGGGGAGACGAGAGAGAGGGGAAATTCAGCCAGGACGGGGCTAAAGGCGACGGCAAACCCGTTCCGAAGGGAAGCCGCTCAGCCTTCACCTCAGCCTCTCTCTGCAGGCGGCAGCTCACGATTTGGGGCGAGAACGATGCTTTTCGGGCAAAAACAGAGTGCCGGGCACCCCGTGAGACCCCCGACGTGCTCGAGGGCTGCTCCTTCGACGGAGAAAACCAGTAATAAAGCAAAACAAATAAGCAAAAATTCGCTAATTCTCACGGCAACGCGAGCGCTCGGCCGCGGGGGCGCCCGGGGCCGGAGGCGGCTCGGGGG